CTGTTGTGTCATCGTGGTGTACTGACCCACCTGTAGTGTGATACTGGTGTACTGACCAACCTGTGGTGTGATGCTGGTGTACTGACCCACCTGTGGTGTGATCGTGGTGTACTGACCAACCTGTGGAGTGATGGTGGTGTACTGACCCACCTGTGGTGTGATCCTGGTGTACTGACCAACCTGTGGTGTGATGCTGGTGTACTGACCCACCTGTGGTGTGATCGTGGTGTACTGACCAACCTGTGGTGTGATCCTGGTGTACTGACCCACCTGTGGTGTGATGGTGGTGTACTGACCCACCTGTGGTGTGATGCTGGTGTACTGACCAACCTGTGGTGTGATGGTGGTGTACTGACCCACCTGTGGTATGATGCTGGTGTTGTAAAGGCCCGTTCTTCTCTCTACCCTTCCTCTCCACTCAATACCCCAGTTCAACACTGCTACAGCTCAGTATGACACCTCACTGAGCTACCGCGGGTACAAGCTGAAATATTAAATGAGGAGGAAACAAAAAGAATAGGGATTATTAATTTTTGAAACTAATAATTAAAAACTCATTAGACACTGCCACTACCTTCCCGATCTAACATACCTGAATGTGTCTATCATTGATCCTCCAGGAAGGCAAGGGATCGGTATTCATGAACTCCCGGGCAACAGGAACTTCGGTAATAAATCTTGGGAATTAGTTTGTTTAATATACTTTGCTTATTTAGGTCCAAGGGCAAATTAAATATCCATTAAATGGCGGAGAACAGGGGGATTTCCAAATACCACACATGTATATACTTCATGTAAAAACTGCTCAAAATTTATGACAAATGGGACAGAGATAATTAAACAACAAAAACAAATTATAACTTTATTTTATTTAACACATATATTGAAATCAAATGAACATATATCCCTATTATCCCTAAGAGGCACATTGAATATCTACCGAGGACACGAATACTCAAGTGCACAATACTTAAAAACTGCACGTCGGCTAAGATGTCAAAGGATGCCCGGTGGGGAATGGAGAGGGAAAAGTGGGGGAGGATAGGCACTGAGAGAACCAAACTAGCAACACCACCCTCAGGTCAACCTCATGGTGAATCAGCCGTTACAGTGTACTGACCCACCTGTGTACTGACCCACCTGTGGTGTGATCCTAGTGATCGTGGTATACTGACCCACCTGTGGTGTGACCGTGGTGTACTGACCCACCTGTGGTGTGATCCTGGTGTACTGACCCACCTGTGGTGTGATCCTGGTGTACTGACCCACCTGTGGTGTGATCGTGGTGTACTGATCCATCTGTGGTGTGATCCTGGTGTACTGACCCACCTGTGGTGTGATGCTGGTGTACTGACCCACCTGTGGTGTGATCCTGGTGTACTGACCCACCTGTGGTGTGATCCTGGTGTACTGACCCACCTGTGGTGTGATCCTGGTGTACTGACCCACCTGTGGTGTGATCCTGGTGTACTGACCCACCTGTGGTGTGAGGTTAGTGTACTGACCCACCTGTGGTGTGATCATGGTGTACTGACCCACCTGTTGTGTGATCCTTGTGTACTGACCCACCTGTGGTGTGGTCATGGTGTACTGACTCACCTGTGATGTGATGCTAGTGTACTGACCCACTTGTTGTGTGATCCTGGTCTACTGACCACCTTGTAGTGTGATCCTGGTCTAATGACCCACCTGTGTTGTGATCCTGGTGTACTGACCCACCTGTGGTGTGATCCTGGTGTACTGACCCACCTGTGTTGTGTGATGCTAGTGTACCGACCCACCTGTGGTGTGATTCTGGTGTACTGACCAACCTGTGGTGTGATTCATGTAATACTGACCCACCTGTAGTGCGATCCTGGTGTACTGACACTCCTGAGGTGTTATTCTAGTCTACTGACCCACCTGTGTTTTGATGATGGTGTGTTGACCCAACTGTGGTGTGATCCTAGTGTATTGACTCACGTTTGGGGTGATCCTGGTGTAATGACCCACCTGTTGCGTGATCCTGGTGTACTTACCCACATGTGGTGTGATTCTGGTATACTGACCTACCTGTGGTGTGATCCTGGTGTATTGACCCACCTGTGGTGTGATCCTAGTGTATTGACCCACCTGTGGTGTGATCCTGGTGTACTGACCCACCTGTGGTGTGATCCTGGTGTACTGACCCACCTGTGGTGTGATCCTGGTGTACTGACGTACCTGAGGTGTGAGCGTAGTGTATTGATCCACCTGTGGTGTGATACTGGTGTAGTGACCCACCTGTGAGGTGATCCTGGTGTATTGACTCACCTGTGGTGTGATCCTGGTGTACTGGCCCACCTGTACTCACCTAGCTGACTGACCCACCTGTGGGTTGATGCTGTGTACTGACCCACCTGTCGTGTGATCCTGGTGTAGTGTCCCACCTGTAGTGTGATGCTGGTGTAATGACCCACCTGTTGCGTGGTCCTGGTGTACTGACCCTCCTATGGTGTGATCCTGGTGTTTTGACACACCTGTGGTGAGATCCTGGTATACTGACCCACCTGTGGAGAGATGCTAGGGTTCTGACCCACCTGTGGTGTGATCCTGGTGTATTGACCCACCTGTGGTGTGATCCTAGTGTACTGACCCACCTGTGGTGTGATCCTAGTGTACTGACCCCCCTGTGGTGTGATCCTAGTGTTCTGACCCACCTGAGTTTTGATGATGGTGTATTGACCCACCTGTGTTTTGATGATGGTGTATTGACCCACCTGTGGTGTCATGCTGGTGTATTGACCCACCTGTGGTTTGATCCTGATGTATTGTCCCTCCTCTGGTGTGATCCTAGTGTATTGACCCACCTGTGGTGTGATCCTGGTGTACTGACACACCTGTGGTGTGATCCTGGTGTACTGACCCACCTGTGGTGTGATCCTTGTGTATTGACCCACCTGTGGTGTGATCCTAGTGTATTGACCCACGTGTGGTGTGATGCTGGTGTACTGACCCACCTGTGGTGTGATCCTGGTGTACTGACCTACCTGTGGTGTGATCCTGCTGTACTGACCCACCTGTGGTGTGATCCTGGTGTACTGACCCACCTGTGGTGTGATGCTGGTGTATCTGACCCACCTGAGGTGTGATCCTAGTGTACTGACCCACCTGTGGTGTGATGCTGGTGTACTGACCCACCTGTGGTGTGATCCCAGTGTACTGACCCACCTGTGGTTTGATGCTGGTGTACTGACCCACCTGTGGGCATGATCCTAGTGTACTGACCCACCTGTGGGGTGATCCTGGTGTACTGACCCACTTGTGGCGTGATCCTGGAGTAATCCCTCACCTTTGGTGTGACTCTAGTGTACTGACCCACCAGTGGTGTGATCCTGGTGTACTGACCCACCTGTGGTGTGATCCTGGTGTACTGACCCACCTGCTTTGTGATCCTGGTGTACTGACCCACCTGTGATGTGATCCTGGTGTACTGACCCACCTGTGTTGTGATCCTGGTGTATAGACCCACCTGTGGTGTGACCCTGGTGTATTGACCCACCTGTTGTGTGATCCTGGTGTTTTGACCCACCTGTGGTGTGATCCTGGTGTACTGACCCACCTGTGGTGTGATCCTAAAGTAGTGACCCACCTGTGGTGTGATCCTGGTGTACTGACCCACCTGTGGTGTGATCCTGGTGTACTGACCCACCTGTGGTGTGATCCTGGTGTACTGGCCCACCTGTGGTGTGATCCTAGTGTACTGACCCACCTGTGGTGTGATCCTGGTGTTTTGACCCACCTGTCATGTAATACTAATGTATTGACCTACCTGTGGTTTGATCATGATGTATTGACCCACCTCTGGTGTGATCCTAGTGTATTGACCCAACTGTGGTGTGATCCTTGTGTACTGACGCACCTGTGGTGTGATCCTGGAGTACTGACCCACCTTTGGTGTGATCCTGGTGTATTGACCCACCTGAGGTGTGATCCTGGTGTATTGAACCACCTGTGGTGTGATGCTGGTGTACTGACCCACCTACGGTGTTATTCTGGTGTACTGACCTACCTGTGGTGTGATCCAGGTGTATTGACCCACCTGTGGTGTGATACTGGTGTTTTGACCCACCTGTGGTGTGATCCTAGTTTACTGACCCACCTGTGGTGGGATCCTAGTGTACTGACCCACCTGTGGTGTGATGCTGGTGTACTGACCCACCTGTGGCATGATCCTAGTGTACTGACCCTCCTGACGCGTGATCCTAGTGTACTGACCCACCTGTGGTGTGATCCTGGTGTACTGACCCACCTGTGGCGTGATCCTGGTGTACTCACCCACCTGTTTTGTGATCCTTGTGTACTGACCCACCTGTGGTGTAATCCTGGTGTTCTGTCCCACCTGTGGCGTGATCCAGATGTACGCACCCACCTGTGGTGTGATCCTGGTGTACTGACCCACCTGTGGTGTGATCCTAGTGTACTGACCCACCTGTGGTGTGATCCTGGTGTACTGACACACCTGTGGTGTGATCCTGGTGTATAGACCCACCTGTGGTGTGACCCTGGTGTATTGACCCACCTGTGGTGTGATCCTGGTGTACTGACCCACCTGTGGTGTGATCCTAGTGTACCGATCCACCTGTGGTGTGATCCTAGTGTACTGACCCACCCTGTGGTGTGATGCTAGTGTACTGACCCACCTGAGGTTTGATCCTGGTGTACTGACCCAGCTGTTGTGTGATTCTTGTGTACTGACCCACCTGTGGTGTGATGCTTGTGTACTGACCCACCTGTAGTTTGATCCTGGTGTAATGACCCACCTGTGGTGTGATCCTGGTGTACTGACCCACCTGTGGTGTGATCCTGGTGTACTGACCCACCTGTAGTTTGATCCTGGTGTAATGACCCACCTGTGGTGTGATGCTGGTGTACTGACCCACCTGTTCTGTGATTCTTGTGTACTGAGCCACCTGTGGTGTGAGGTTTGTGTACTAACCCAACTGTGGTGTGATACTGGTGTTCTGACCCAACTGTGGCTTGATCCTGGTGTAAAGACCCACCTGTGGTGTGATCCTGGTGTACTGACCCACCTGTGGTGAGATGCTAGTGTTCTGACCCACCTGTGGTGTGATTCTGGTGTACTGACCCACCTGTGGTGTGATGCTAGTGTACTGACCCACCTGTGGTGTGATCCTGGTATTTTGACCCACCTGTGGTGTGATACTGGTGTACTGACGCACCTGTGGTGTGATCCTAGTGTACTCACCAACCTGTGGTGTGATCCTAGTGTACTGACCAACCTGTGGTGTGATTCTAGTGTACTGACCCACCTGTGGTTTGATGCTGGTGTACTGACCCACCTGAGGCGTGATCCTAGTGTAATGACCCACCTGTGGTGTGATCCTGGTTTACTGACCCACTTGCTTAGTGATCCTAGTATCCTGACCCACCTGTGGTGTGATACTGGTGTACTGACTCACCTGAGGCGAGATCCTAGTGTACTGACCCACGAGTGGTGTGATGATGGTGTACTGACCCACCTGTGGCATGATCTCAGTGTACTGACCAACCAGTGGTTTGTTGCTGGTGAACTGACCCACCTGTGGCATGATCCTAGTATACTGACTCAGCTGGGGTTAGATTCTTGTATACTGACCCACCTGTGGTTTGATGCTTGTGTACTGACCCACCTGAGGCGTGATCCTAGTGTAATGACCTACCTATGGTGTGATCCTGGTGTACTGACCCACCTGTTTGGTGAACCTGGTGTACTGACCCACCTGTAGTGTGATCCTGGTGTAGTGACCAACCAGTGGTGTGATCCTGGTGTACTGACCCACCTGTGGCGTGATCCTGGTGTACTGACCCACCTGTGTTGTGATCCTGGTGTACTGACCCACCTGTGGTGTGATCCTAGTGTACTGACCCACCTGTGGCGTGATCCTGGTGTACTGACCCACCTGTGGCGTGATCCTAGTGTACTGACCCACCTGTAGTGTGATCCTGGTGTACTGACCAACCTGTGGTGTGATCCTGGTGTACTGACTAACCTGTGGTGTGATCCTGGTGTACTGACCCACCTGTGTTGTGATCCTGGTGTACTCACCCACCTGTGGTATGATACTAGTGTACAGACGCACCTGTAGCATGATTTTGGTGTACTCACTCACCTGTGGCGTGAACCTAGTGTACTGACCCACCTGTAGTGTGATCCTGGTGTACTGACCCACCTGTGGTGTGATCCTGGTGTACTGACCCACCTGTGGTGTGATCCTGGTGTATTGACCCACCTGTGGCGTGATCCTGGTATTTTGACCCACCTGTGGTGTTATACTGGTGTACTGACCCACCTATGGTGTGATCCTGGTGTACTGACCCACCTGTGGTGTGATCCTGGTGTACTGACCCACCTGTAGTGTGATCCTGGTGTAGTGACCCACCAGTGGTGTGATCCTGGTGTACTGACCTACCTGTGGCGTGATCCTGGTGTACGGAACCACCTGTGTTGTGATCCTGGTGTACTCACCCACCTGTGGTATGATTCTAGTGTACAGACGCACCTGTAGCGTGATTTTGGTGTACTCACCCACCTGTGGCGTGATCCTAGTGTACTGACCCACCTG